AAAAAAAAAAAAGATTAGCTGGGAATTGTGGTGGGCACCTGTAGTCCCAGCTACTCCGACAGCTGAGGCAAGAGGATCACTCAAGCCCCAGGAGTTTGAGGCTAAGTGAGCTTTTCTTTTCTTTTCTTTTCTTTTTTTTTTGAGACAAGAGTCTCACTCTGTGGCCTGGGTAGAGTGCCATGGCATCATAGCTCACAGCAACCTCAAACTCTTGGGCTTGAGCAATCCTCTTGCATCACCCTCCAGAGTAGTTGGGCAAACAGACATGCACCACTATGCCTGGCCAACTTTTCTTCTTCTTTTTTTTTTTTTTTTTCAGACGGAGTCTTATTTTGTTGCCCTCAGTAGAGTACCATAGCATCACAGCTCATAGCAACCTCAAAGTCTTAGGCTTAAGTGATTCTCTTGCCTCAGCCTCCCAAGTAACTGGGACTACATGCACCCGCCACAATTGCATTTGTCATTGTTGTTTAGCAGTCCTGGGCTGGGTTCAAACTCGCCAGCCTGGGTGTATGTGACCATCACCCTACCCCTACCCACTGAGCTATGGGCTCCGCCAAGTCTTCCTATTTTTAATAGAGAGGGGGTCTCACTCTTGCTCTGTCTGGTCACTAATGAGCTCAAATCCACCTACTTCCACTTCCCAGAGTCCAAGAATTATAAGCATGAGTCACTGTGCCTACCCTGTAGTGAGCTATTATGCCACCACGACACTCTGCCCAGGCCACACATTGAGATTCTGTCTCAAAAAAAAAAAAGACCAAGTGAGGTGGCTCACACCTATAATCCTAGCTCTAGCACTCTGGGAGGCTGAGGTGGTGGATTCCCTGAGCTCAGGAGTTGAAGACCAGCCTGAGCTAGAGCAATATCTGGTCTCTAAAATTAGCTGGGCATTGTGGCAGGTGTTTGTAGTCCCAACTACATGGTAGGCTGAAGCAACAGGATCTGTTGAGACCAAGAGTTTGAGGCCAGGTACAATGTCTTAGGCCTGTAATCTTAGCACTCTGGGAGGCCGAGGCCGGTGGATTGCTTGAGGCTCAGGAGTTTGACACCAGCCTGAGAAAAAGCCAGACCCCATCTCTACTAAAAATAGAAAAACTGGGGCAGCGCCTGTGGCTCAGTGAGTAGGACGCCAGCCCCATATACCGAGGGTGGCAGGTTCAAACCCAGCCCTGGCTGAACTGCAACAAAAAATAGCCAGGCATTGTGGCGGGTGCCTGTAGTACCAGTTCTCGGGAGGCTGAGGCAAGAGAATCGCCTAAGCCCCGGAACTGGAGGTTACTGTGAGCTGTGATGCCATAGCACTCTACCAAGGGTGATAAAGTGAGACTCTGTCTCTACAAAAAAAAAGAAAGAAAAACTGAGGCCAAGGATTGCTTGAGCCCAGTAGTTGGAGGCTGCTGTGAGCTAAGCTGATGCTATGGCACTCTAGCCTTGAGCAAGACTCTGTCTCAAAAAATAAAAAGTTCTGTGCATTGCCTCGGCACTCACAGTACAGTGGTTACAGTGCCAGCCACATACACTGAGGGTGGCAGGTTTGAACCTGGCCCAGGCCAGCTAAACAACAATGACAATTGCAGCAAAAAATAGCCAGCCATTGTGGCAGGCACCTGTAGTCCCAGCTACTTGTGAAGCTGAGGCAAGAGAATCGCTTGAGCCCAAGAGTTTGAGGTGAGCTGTGACGCCACGGCACTCTACCGAGGACGACACAGTCAGACTCTGTCTCAAAAAAAAGAAATAAGTTCTGTGCATCATATCAAACAACCCATCAATAAAGGTAATACTGTTAACTCGCCTTTTTGTCCTTAACAGCGGTTTGGATGATGAGGCCATGAAGTAACAGAGGTCTGGCGTGAACCACTGTGCCTGTCTCTAGAAATAGTTCACTTTAACATGGAACAAACAAGAACATACATTTATATTTTTGTCTCAGTTATGTTACATGACATCAGTTTGGTCAGACAGGATGTCTATGGTTACTACACTAAAGGCTTTGCTAGGTCATACGCAATCTACAGAGGGGGAAATAAACTCTATGAAGATTCAGAGGTCCAGTGATCAGGGCATGTTGGGATATCCTCTAAAGCATAAAAACAAATTCTTACATCTTGCTTCTTCTTCAAAGAACCAAGCACAATCCCTGGCAGGTTCTAAAGGTAACACCTTCCCTCTAATACTAATACTGCTCTAGCCAGGATGCCAGGTG